GTAACCATATGAGACAAATTAAGAGACAGCAACACGCAAAAAAAAGAAATTAGGATTGAAAACAGCAGCTATAGTTTGTGTGTGTTGACTCACAGTCACAGTTTGTGTATTGATATCTGTGATTGGAACATCTCTGTAGGTCACAGTCATCAGAGGGGGGAAAACCTGTCCGTCCTGGGTTCGGGGAACCAGCTGGAACCTACCAAACACACGGTTGATTAAAAACCACTTCTCAAACAGTTACAAATAAAAGCTTTGACTATTTTTCTTTTATATGAAGCTGAAGTATTGGCAGCCAACCTTATTTTGACACTGCTGACTACACGGATGACTTTGGGCAGGGAACTGGTGCTCTTCTCTCTTCCACTCAGCGTATCGACAACAAACACGCGTCGAGACAGGTACCAATTCTTCATGCTCTCTGCAAAATGGCAAATGTATTAAAGCAATGCGCGCGCACACACACACACACACACACACACACACACACACACACACACACACACACACACACACACACACACACACTTCAAACAGAATAGAATCCCACCTTCGTTGATTAGGCGCCCATTGTATTGCTGGTTATAGACCAGTGTAGGCAGGGGGAGAAGTTTTCTGTTCTCGCCTCCACCAAGATCCAAAAACACATCATAGAACAACGGCTCCGGGTGGGCGTCCAACAAGTGTGCTACTGAGAGATCACACTATACACACACACACACACACACACACATTATATTATATTACAACTGGGCATCGCAAGATAGTTTGTGCAGTGTCCCTGAGATCAATTGAAAGAACAGATACTCACACTCTCTTGGTAAGCAGTGCCAAAGCTGAAGGCTGCAGACTGTCTGGAAGTTGTTCCTGGACAAAGCTGAAAGAAGAACAAAGGTGGAAAGGTGTAATTATCTATATACTATGTATGAAGCACTTAACACATTTCAAAATGTTTTCGATCCAAAATGTATATGTTCAAGCTGTCATGATTGATACTTAAGGAAATGTATGAACATGTGTAACCAACATGGCTGGGGAAACTGGGTAACAAAGTATTTACCAGATACACCTAAATGAATATGCTTAACAAACAAGCATGGAGTCAACAATAACAAAGGGCTTTTGTAATTCAGTTTCTGGTCAACTCTTCTATATTGAGGGAAATCTCAACTGTGCAATCTCTTGAAGTCAGTCTTTTGAGAAGAATGACTTTCGGTTTCATTATTGGGCCAATGTTGTAAAACTAGGCAGTTCTAATCATATATTAAAATATGTAACACTTGTTTTTTGTTTTCAGGTGTAAAATCCTTTTAATAAGTCATTTTCCATCTTACCTGGAGATTACCTGCTCCTACTTGTTCCCATCTGAGGAACTCTCCTCTGACATTATACACAGCAGCAAGCAGCCTAATGTCCGTGTTCTGTCGGACAAACAGAATGTGTCAGATAAACAAAACGGTTTAATGCTGAATTTGTAGAATCTTTAAACGTTGATTTCATTGTGATAACTGGAGAATGATTCAAGTTCATCACTGACCTTGTTTCTTCCTCTGAAACTGAACTTAATGGGAACAGGATCGGTCTGAAGCACTCGACCTGCCAGCCCAGGTTCGTCCCCGTAGTAAAGCCACGGCAGATTAACTCTCCTAGAGACGAAGTAACCAAAATGCAAAATAATTACAGTATATGGTTAGAAATCATGCTATTTAATCCATAACTTGTATAGATGGCACAACATATACACATACTGTGTGCCATGATAGTGTTGGTTACCAGTAAGAGATGTCTTGAGTTGAGCTTAAAGCAGCCCGAGATCTGAAGATGGTGTTAAAGAGGCCGCAGGCGTCGGTGGAGACGCTGCTGAAGGAATGCATGTTCATCACACACATGTTCCCAAGAGCCTGACATGCCGTCAAGTTGGAGAATACCTGTAACAATACAAAACTGTTTATGAAACAGCTGGAATATACACAGAAAGTTAAGAAAATCCTCTTCTCATAAAAGTAAAAGATCTGTATGAGATACAATCTGACAGCACAGAAAATGTGTTCTAAAAGCTGTTTTAACAAAAGACAACCCTTTCTGTATCCTTCTATTTACATGTGGACATTTATGAGATGCATTTTCGCATGAATTTGCATTTTTTTATTTGAAAGGCTATGAATTGTCATAAATACCAACAGCTATCACAATTGCAACAATTAAGTTACAACTCCACATTGTAAATGGTAGAATATTCTTGCTGTCCGAACATAATGTTGGATCAGTAAAATAAAGAGTTAGAAATTACAAGGCAGGCTGCTGACGAGGAGTACAGGTTTTTGACAAACCAGGCAGACTGGACACTGAACTTCTGCAAGGGGAAAAAAAGCGGAAAACACCAATCAGATTGCATCAATATAAACAAAATTGAGTGAGCAAGTGAGAGAGGAAAGGGAAGACTCACCAGCTGAGCATAGTTAACACTGGGATTCACATTAGTGGAGAGGCTGCCTGAAGGGATACATAGACCTCCTGCCTGCAAATCACATACCAACCAGTGAAGATGCATTAATGAATGAGTCTGATACTGAATGGTGTGTGTATCAAATCAAGTTTTATTTATATAGCACATTTATAAATGATTTTTGGTCGAGCCAAAGTGCTGTACGTATAATAAAAATAGCCTACAGTAGAGACATTTTACAGCTAATACAACAACACAGATTGTTCAGAATATGTATGATGAGTCTGGAGGAGGGTGTGAGGAAAAAGGGTCAGCAGGGCTCACCAGGACATTAGGAGGGTTACACACACAGGAGGAGTTAATGAAGGAATCCTGACATCTCTCACACCTGAAAAACAAAGTATAAAAACCTTACATACTGTACTATCAATCTTTTCTTATCACACTAGGGATGCTAGAGACACGCAGTTAACACTCATACGCCATTTATCAGAACAAACCACTTGTGTGAAAGAGTTTTATCTGGCATTGTAATAATTATGAGGTTTTAAGGGTTAGTGCTTATGAGGGCCACAGAGGGATAAAGAAAGGGAAGATACAGCAAGACTGTAGGTCTGCTGTGCAAGGGTGACACACAGACTAGAATCAATATCCCTCAAAAGGGGATTGTTCCGTTTTCATTAAAAGAAAGTATCTAACATAATAACACTTTTCTGTATTCTACATTTTAAAATCAATGATAAATCCCACGTCCAACCTTTTAAACTCAAATTGTAGCAGTGCTCGCCTCTTAAATTAGACTATTGGACTATTGTAACTGAACATGCTTTAATGCATGAAATGTAATCAGTCTACAGGACAGTACAATACATGGATTTGCACTGACTAACTCAGATGCCTTGGACGACTTCTTGAGTGTGAATATGTATGAAACTGAATATACCAGTGTTTCGGTTGTGAGGTATTGGTGCTGTACATACTTGTCTCCACTGTAGTTTGGCACAGTCAAACCAGGGGTATTTCCATTACATATTTCACACCTGGCCTCATCCAGAAGGTTTCCATTGGTATCTCTCTCCACTGAAAAACAACAGCCCATATTCAGCCTTTTTTTTTACACAAAATGCTGCTAAAATTATAGCACGCACTTTTAACATTTAAGACTTTGAGAAGCATGTTTGCTATTCATGACTGGTAGTGTCTATGGTGACTCACCCAGGATATTGCCTGGTGGGCACTGGCACTTCCCCTCATCACTGAGACTGCCGGGACAGCGGACACACCCAAACCCATCTGTAATTACTGCCTATAATGAGAGACAACTTGTCAACAAAGCAATATTACCAATGGGATTGCAATTGTGAAGTGAAAGTGAGATGCATTATCGAAAGTATAATGTGAGATTAACAGCGATTGCCAGGGGAATTGTACGTACAGGTTTGTCAGTGGGACATTGCTGACATGTGATGGATGTCTTGTCGGTTATGAGAGTTTGGTAACCAGTTTTGCAAATGCAGCTCAGTCCTGCAAACAAAAGGAGAGAATTTATGCTGATTAGAGGAAACAGGGATTGAAGAGGGGTACGTTTTTAGATATTAGTTATTGTGATATTTAAGGTAATGGGCTCATGCCTCAATTCGAGGAAATACTTGCTATAAATCATGACTTATAATCATTATGGAGTTTTACCTTTTGATGAACTAGTTAAATAGAAAAAAGGACCTACACACATATAGAGTAATCATTAGATTATGGAAAATATTAACAGTAGGCCTACCACACATTTGATTTTTTTGTGTGATCTAAACTACTGTGAAGTATGTCCATAATAGATGACAAGACTTTAGATCAGTCAGAAACAATGTTATCGTATATCTCCTTAAATAAAGCATTTCGGCACAGAGGCATTAATTCAAACGTCAAACTGTGCATCCTGTTTGTAGGTGGATTTCCCCATCAATACTTTTATCTAAGCTAACTAGCCTTTTACTAGCTAACTGTTACCCAGTTCATTGTGGATTTGTTGGGTCGTGGATGGCTGTTCGAGTCATTTTCGAGTTAATTATTTTTGATAAACCACACGTTTTTATTGGCATATATATTGTCAGTATGCTACATGAGTTGTTGTGTGGTGGTAACCTACCTGTTGTGCTCCGGAGCTGATTTGAACCGCAGCTCACACACGAGAGACTTGAGATATCGAAAAATGTGTCCCCACTACAGTCTGAAGGAGACTTGAAAGTAATGACAAACTGCTGGCAATCAAAAATATCTATGTATACAGACAGAAATAATGTTATAATAGGCACTTTGTATCTGCTAACAACAGACGGTAGCGTCCCCGTCGCCATGGTAAACAACGGACCTTCTTTGTTTTTTTTTTACCCACAATCCTATTCAGCATGCGTGATGACGTCGTGACCAGTTCACGTGTGCGTCACGTTTTACCTACTGAATTTAATCTGTAAATAATAATAATAATATGAATACATTTGAAGCAATACAATACAAATACAAGTTATCTGTGGGTTTCTATTTGAATAAACACATTTAAAAAGGCCCTATTCAATGCAGTGTCTGAATGTACTTGTACGTTGTGCTTTTAACCTATATCTCAATATTGTACTGCACACTTTTCCTCCACAACTAGTTACTGCAGGTTTATGTTACTAGAACCTCATAAAAAATCCACTGATAAATTATGATATATTGTCATGGATTAAGCTACCTAGCAGTAAATAAAGACATTAAAATTAGCTCCATTTTAACCAGCTGCCACGTAAAATATAATCAATTTATATTATACTCAAGACAAATAATACTTATTCTGCCAGTCTATGACTAACTATTAATTGTTAGCAGATGCTTTATAATTATTTAAAAAGGCTAGTAACTATGTACTGTGGGATGTGTGTTTTAACCTCGAAGGCCTTGTTAAGACACAATGAAACTCATTTAAAATTTGAATTGCATTCATCTTTGATAGAAGTGTCATGATTGCCATGCGATACACTGAAAAGTCTCTCAAATGGTCTAACTGTTGACCTTAAACTTACAGTGAAGAAACTATCTCCAGACAATCTCCAGATGCAAAACTGCCTTATCACAGCAAGTCTCACATACTTCAAATCTACAACCTTCATGCAGTCTTAATGAATCCAATAAAGCATGTTTTCTTCTGAGATACCATCCTTCTGTGCAGTATCTTTATAGGTACATTTAATTAAAAAATATAGACTTTTTCTAAATGTGAAGCGTGACAAGGGCGTAGGAAAGAGAAATATGTGCACCACTTTACTAAGGCTAAGGCAAAAGTGGAAAAAAATATGGATACAAAACAATACAGATTGTGTTAGTCATAATATGTAATGTTGTTGCTAAATAACCTTTATTTGCAGTAGGACATTTTTTTAACTCTGTTGACTGGAAAGATGTTTTGGTTCACCACACATTGAGTTGTATGAGTTTTGGCAGGAAACGACATGCTCTGCAGCTGCATCTTATTCACTTCCTCTGAAGTCTGTTATTATGTATGTGGTATTGTGTTTTTTTAAATGTTGTTTAAGCTTAATGATCTCAAAGGTTGAGACTGAATCATAAGGTGTAAACATGACATTTTTCCTCAGTGCGTGTGGATCATCGACTGTCACTGGTAGGGACAAAAGAGCTCTGCAGAGAAAAGCAACCCATGGGGCTGGCTGGGTGTTATGATTTTAGTTGAACTGAAATAAACATTAATTTTGGACTGAAGAAAAACTTTTGTGCAGGTGAAATGCATATAAGATATGTGATAATGTGTGGCGTTTCCTTTTTAGTTTTCCTGTGTGCCTAACACAGTTAATCAATGTGTAAATCAAGTTCTGTTCTGACCTCACTCCAGTCCAGTAGGTGGCGGAAATGCGTCACATACAACAAGTATAAAAAGGGGAAAACCAAAACCAGGCTCAGACCAAAACCAGATTGACTGAATAAACCGCATTCTTGAGCAACAGCGGGGGCGGTCGGATAGATACATAAAGAGAAGAGGAAGTGTTTCAGCAACTAGTCGAGGCTAACATGAGAGAATGCAACAGCAAAGCCCGCGAAGAAACAACTATTTACAGTCCATGCTGTGGTGAGTAGTTGAGCTTTTCACGGAGACAGAAAAGTTTTCTACAATTCCCGGGCTTTATTTTCCTTTCAGCGGTGCGAACAACACACCACGTGTTTTCGTCATTGCCGAAATCTCAACAATTAGCTTTTGCATTTTTTTAGTTTTCACCATTGTTGTCTTACTTTTCAGACACCATCTCACTGGGTGTGAAAAAATGATAATCCTGCGCTTGCAAGGTCTTGATGTGAAGGCAGGCACTAAAGATGTACGGAGGTTCTTCAGACGCTTTCACATACCTGACGGAGGAGTGTACATCGTGGGAGGAAGTCTGCAAGAAGCATTTATTGCATTTACTTTAGAAAAACATGCACAGCTTGCTTTGCGGTACACCGGAAGGTTACTAAAAGGTTCTAAAGTTAGTCTACACCTAAGCAGCATGGCAGAGCTTGAGAAAAAACTAAAATATTTGCTGAAGAGGAGGAAGCCCTCCCCCCCACAGCCTCCTGTGAAGAAACATCAGCCATTTTCAGATGCTAATGTGCTGCCTTCAAATGATATCCCTTTTGATGCCAACACTCTGCCAGAGCCTCTTCATCCAGATACTTCAAATCTACAACCTTCAAATGCAGACTCACAAGACTTCAAAGCTGCCTTTCTTCTTGGGATGTATACTATCATTCAAGGTCTCCAGTCAACCTGTCCAGGTGAAAAAACCGAGGCAGAGCAAACGGTTGACTTTCCAAGAGTGGTTGATAAAATTATGTCACCAAAAAAGACACCAGGCTACGTCAGGCTCTTTGGTCTGCCAGCCTCCACTAAAAAACAGGACATCTGCCAGTTTTTCCAAGGGTTGACAGTACAGGAAGCCATCGTGAATGTTGAGTTGGGACGAAGCCACGCATGCCTCGTGAAGTTTGCAAACACACAGGATGCGTTTGATGCTCTTCACTTCAACCAGCAGTCATTGGGCCCCATCTGTGTGGAGGTGCGTGCAGCAACTGAGAAGATGTGGACCAGCGCACTGCAGGAATGTGAAGCTGCTGTTAATGTTGGGCAGAGAGTAAAAACCAAGCAAAAGCCTCTCAAGGAAAGTGCACACCACCGAAAAAAGAACATGTCTGCGCTGCAGCTCAGGAGGCAGTTTATCAACCAGTTGCCATCAAAATTGGCAAAAAAGCCAAGAGCTGACTGTGACTCCATCACTACCATATCGCCAGCTGTGGAGTACAACGTCATGGTAAACAATCTACACAAAGGGATGACCAAGACTGAAATAAAAGAGTTGTTTGGATGTCCGAACATTGCACACACAAATGTATTACATCTGCTTGACAAGGAAGGCAACAGATCAGCTACAGCCTTCCTTATATTTGAGTGCACTGAGGATTATGACTATGCAATGAATCTCAATGGCTGCCATGTGGGTTCGGATACCATTGAGGTCTCGTCAATCACTAAAAAGAGGATGAAAGAGATGATGGCCAAAACCCTACCCAGAAGTCTTGAACTTTGTCCAAATACTGGACCCAAGGGGAAACGGAATCCACTTGTGCCGAGCAATAAATCTGACCCAGCAGCTCAGACCTGCCTTTTCGTCAGAAACCTGCCTGCAGATGTCCAAGAAAGTCATATACAAATACTTTTCAGCACATTCAGACTCAAGAAGAATAATATCATTTTACTGCATAACAGCAATGGGGAGAGTGAGGCTCTGGTTCAGTTTAAATCTCCAAAACTTGCTTCACTGGCTCACAGGCTCCATGACCTGGAATTCCAGGGGACAAAACTACTTCTTACTTGCATTACCATGAAACAAATGGAGGACGTCTTGGCAAAAAACTTTGAAGCAGTTAAACATTAACGCTCAAATGCAGACATTGTGGCTCAAGGCCATAACTAAGTTTGTTTCAACTGTTACTTTGCTTAACTTCAGCAACATGTTGAGTTGTTTCTTACTTTTCAAATGTTTAAGAATATCATTAGCTCTGAACATTCCATGTATTCTAAAATAAATGTTTTTTTACTGTTCATTCTGGGTTTTAACCTTTTCTTTTCTTTTTTACTCCTCTTTAAGGAGTTAAACGTCCCATGACATGGCCATTTCTACTGATCATAATTCCATTGTTGAGGTCGACTAGAATAGATTTACATTTTTTGATGTTCCAAAATGACATTGGTTTCTCATACAGCATCTCTTTATAGTATGTGTATTCACTCCGTCCTAAACGGCTTGTTGGAGCTCCTGCCCCCCCTCCCTATGAGCCCACTGTGCTCTGATTGGTCAGCTCTCTTCTGATGAGTCCACCACCGTTACAGCGGAACATCAGTGATTGTGTTACAATGAGACCAGCAACCAGAAAATGACACCAGAAATGACAAACATGAGAATGCTGCGTGGGGTCTGGGTGCCGTGTTGGCAGGACGTTGCGGGGCTTGCTGCTGCGGACTGTTTTTGCTGGATTACTGGGGTCGTTTCCTGGTTGCTGCGTGGGGTCTGCGAGACAGCATGAAACTCAGCCTGAGTTTCATGGGGTCTGCGAGACAGCATGAAACTCAGCCTGAGTTTCGCGGTGTATCGCTGTCTCCGGAGCCGCAGCTGAGAAAAGATAAGGCTGAGTGTGTGTGTGTGAGGAGCTCCACGGATTGGTCCATTTGGACCTGGGCATGGTTAAGTCACCATACTCGGAGAGAAATCTCCAACGAGGCGTTCTGGGGCAGCATAGACAGGTCTTTTCTGTGTTAAGAGTTTTACTCGCTACAGGGTGTACTTTGAGGGTTTGTGACTCTGCAGACCGTTTACATGCAGAAAGCGCTCTCCGGTTATATTTTTCTGGCTATATATCTAAGAAAAGGATTTACTCGCAGCTTTAATGCTGCTGAAATGATAATGGGAAGGAAAAAAACTCAACAAACTTGTCATGGAGGAAATAAACTATTAATGTAGTTAAGGAAAGCTTGAAGTCATTTGATATTTTCACTGAAACTAGACCAGTTGAAGACTTGTAGGACTATATTCAGACTATTTGAGCACTACCAATTATCTGTGCATCATTTTAAAAGATGGGACAGGATCAAGGAGTAAAGAGGAGATGCCATGAGGCTAAGGACAATAGGTCGGATTTGAATCCCAGATATCTGAACACCCTGAAGATTGTGTTGTGAAAAAAGTTGGAACGAAACAAACACCTGTAATGTCATTCATTTTAATAGAACAGGGCCTTGGAAAATAAAGAATAGGCATACACTTATGTTGAGTTAAACTGGTGAACACATGTTTGTTTTACTTCCCAAGTTTTTCATCTTCACATATTCTAAAATAGATACAAACATTAAAAAAGGAAGACCACTAAGTAGCAACAAAAAATATGCCTAAAAGCATCAGTGTAAAAAAAGAAATTATGAAATCGACATTTTCAAATTTTGCCCGGTCATAATTGATGCTTGTGATTTTCATTTGTAATACTTGGGTCCCGTAGAGTACCTGGATGGACCTGCAGAGAGACAGAAACACGTTAAAATGGCACAATATAGAACAACATTGGGAAAGCAACAGGAATATGTGATACATAGAAGGTCAACAAATGACCAACCGATAAACTTCTAAATTTCAGTTCACTTCAAATGGAAAGGCTCAGAGGAGACTTGGTTACATACCTGAGAATGGATCGCTACTGCCCATCAATTTGGGGGTTTCAGAGGAGAAGCCTGTGGAGCTCATGGAGAAGCTGTTCAGACTAGAACCCTGAGGAGGAAATGAAGACAAACATTTAGGAAAAGATCAGACTCAGAAACGGGTTTTGTCAAGTAGTTTTACACATACAAGGAATTTGCCTTGGTGTATACATGGTGCATACAAACAGTTAATAAGTTAAAGAGTAAGAACCAGAAAATGAAATATAAACAATTGAAATGATTATACATTGAGATGTAGACCAATTATTTACATGCACAGGTTTCTAAATACAGATGTAATAGTAATACAGATAATACTGAGAAATATGGGCTCATACAAATCAGATCAAATGTCTTTCTTACATTTGTTTTTACTAAATAAATACAAGAACAGAAACGGGTCATAGAGAAAACAAGCTCCATACCGACGATACGCTCCTCAGTCTGTAGTCCATCAGTACATCTGTCAGTTTCTGTGTCACCTTCAGCACCAGCTGTGCGTCACTCTCATTCTCTATCCGGAAAGTATCCTTCAAATATAATTTAAGGAGTTAATAAACATTTTTTTTTTTTAAAAAGGTCCCATGTCATGGCCATTTCTACTGATCATACTGGCAGCCCGCAAACAACTTCACGGCGTATACTGCCGCCCAAAATTCCCGGCCGGAAGTCCCCGGAGTTGGACTAGCTTCAGTAGAAGCTGCTGGGACCCCAGCAGCTTCTACTGAAGCTTTCCGAGTAAATCGCCAGAACACCTCCTCATCTCCACCGCTCCCATGTTTTATTTTGTGTTGCCATAAATTAGTCCCTCTGCGTTTCTGCGCTGGGCTAATGCTAATTATGCTAATGCGAGGATAATAAAATGGTGGCTTCACAACACTTTTTTTGAGTTTTACGGGGCGTGGTTTGCAATCCGCCCAGCCAATCAGAAATATAGCTCTTTTCTCACAAGAGAGCCGCATGAGAGTCCCTGCTCTATGGAAAAGGGGGTAAAAAGGTTCTCATGAACTAATTTTAGTTCCGGCTCTTTTTGGTGTGAACGCGACATTTCGGAACTATATCGGAACTAAAGTGGGAAAAGTACTCCGGTGTGAACGCGGCTAATGACACCAGTAATGACAAACATGAGAATGCTGCGTGGGGTCTAGGTGCCGTGTTGGCGGGACGTTGCGGGGCTTGCTGCTGCAGACAGTGTGAGCTGGATTACTGGGGTCGCTTCCTGGTTGCTGCGTGGGGTCTGCAAGACAGCACGAAACTCACCTGAACTCAGCCTGAGTTTCGCGGTGTATCGCTGTCTCAGGCTGAGAAATCCAGAGTCGCAGCTGAGAAAAGGTGTGTGTGTGTGGAGCTCCACGGATTGGTCCATTTGGACCTGGGCATGGTTACGTCACCATACTCGGGAAGAAAACAATGAAAAAAAAAAAAATCTCCAACGAGGCGTTCTGGGGCAGCATAGGCAGGTCTTTTCTGTGTTAGTTTTACTCGCTACAGGGTGTACTTTGAGGGTTTGTGACTCTGCAGACCGTTTACATGCAGAAAGCGCTACATAACACACAAGGGGACGGGTAATAACCGGAAAAGCATGACATGGGACCTTTAATACAAACACGAGTAATTTTACAAAATAAATGGACAGTTAAGTTATGGAGGAACCTGCTGTGAGAAATGTAACTCGTACCAGGTAAGTGAGGAGTGTATTAGGAAGGTTGCCAGTTTCTGGAGCAGCCCCCATCAAGCCTGGTCTCTCCAGTGCCTTGTCCATTGGTCTGTTCATCTGGCTCCTCCGCATTTGGTTGCCATGGTACTCATCAGGATACATACTGACCGGGTCCTCCAGCAATCCACCCCTTCCATAGCCACCTTTTCCACCACCTGATCCAAAACTGTCTCTGATCCCAGCTGGGCGATGACCCATACCATCTGGGTAAGGTCTTTGATCCATGCCCGAGCCGAGGGACTCTTGTCTGGTCGGGTAATCGAAGCCTCCAAAGCCGGGCTCCCCATACTCTGCCCCTGGATAGTCAGAGAGAAGTCCTCGCTGAGGAGGAAACTCCCCTGAAAACCTTGAGTCGGAGAACCTGGGTCCTGAGGGACCTGTTACATTAAAATTGCATATTAGGTCAATAGAAAAACAGCATTTATCAGGGTTCGTACGAGTGCTGGAAATCCTTGAAAATGCTTGAAATTGTACGAGGTGTTTTCAAGGTTTGAAAAGTGCTTGAATTTTGGGAATGGTGCTTGAATTGGGGATAAAGTGCTTGAAATTGTAAATGCTTTACTTCGCTTTTTAGATTAAAAGAAAATAAAGAACTCGGAGCGCGCGTAATTGCTTTGCTTTTAAATAAAACAGCTCTGCTCCAGCCTTCCCACACTATGCGCGTGACCTGCAAGTGTTTTTGTTACGTGTGACCTGGGCATTCTGATGAGTGCTAGATGACAGTATGCCAGGAGGTTGCAGTTACAACGAGCGTTGGCTAGCAGAAGACAAATACAAGCCATGGCTAAGACGACGGTCAAGCCCACGAGTAGCCTCCTGCAAAGTTTGCAAAAATAACGATGCGAGAGTCTGCGCTGATGAGCCACATGAAAGGTACGCCGTATTAGAGCATTTTAGATTAGGCTAACGTTGCATGTTACGTTTGTTTCAGCTAACGTTAGCGAGCTGAATAGCGAACTCGATTGAGGGATAATAATAATTGAAGGGGACAATCATTTCAGAGGAGCGTACATATGTTATGTGCGTTACAGTCCGCCATCGTGTGGTGTTCAGAGGATGAAGCACTCACGGCATTTCGTGTTATAGTCACGAAATATAATCTATTGATTCGACACTCTATTGTATTTCTACTGGTAGTATGTTTCGTGCGTAAACCAAATGTGACTTGCTCTATGGAAATCAGTCACATTGACCGAAGACACATTTTAGTTTGTATTACTGGTCTGGGGGAAGCTCGCGAGTGTGTTTGTGTATTTTTGCGTTTGTGTACCGGGGAAACACTTACAAGAAACACTGGCTGTTGTTATGCTTGCTGTGATGTTACATTAGTCCGTTCTCTGCTTGTAATTATGCCGTTACAAGCTTCAAAGTTGTATTTATCATCTGAATTTGCCGAAAAAAGTTTAATATTCTGAAAGCCAATACTTTGTTTATTTGAAAACAGATGAAAACAAACTGTCTTTTATATCAAATTGAAGTATTATAAAAGTAAAACTACATTTTGCTTTAATCCCATGTATCTCTTCCCTTTATAGGTATATTATTGAAATATTCTACACCTACTTACTACACCTTTATATTGTTCACATATATTTAGTCTGAAATCCAAGGTGGACCTCATTTAGGTGTTCGATGGGACGT